TGGAGTACAAAGAAACCACTTTGGAATGGAATGCCTGTCAGTGAGGGCTGGAGAGCAGAGCTGCCCACCTGCTGGAATAATCTTTATGTATTAGATGATCCTGCTTTGAAGCAGAGTGATTTGTGCTCTATGCACGGTCTCACTAGCACATTTTACTGCAAGGTCATTCCTTGCTAGGGGTCAAACTCTTTACGCTAGGTCTATACTCATGGTCTAAAGCAAGTGGTCCTGCAGCCCCTCTTCCTTCTACTTGCTCTGCTGCTAGGAACAATGATTTTTTTTTTAAGGTCTACTGCTTCAAAATTATGTTAGTATCCATTTAATGTGGATGAAGCATAGCATAGCTCTCTCCACACCCTGTAAGGAATGGCTTCCACCTGCCCAAAGACAGCTGTATCCATAGAAAGTATCAAACAGTCACCAAAATTCTTCTAATTTTTTGGTGTATTGTTATTTGTCAAAGTAGTTGGACATGGTAAAAGACCTTAAAGTACAGAAGAGCCTGCAGAGTATCAGTATCAAGGGTGGAAAACACCTTAATTTTATGAAAGGAGTCTTTCTCAGGACTTTCCCTTGAATGTACCTGACATGCAGCTCAGCATCACAAGACTCTGCACACTCAAATTGTGGGGGGGAAAAAAAAAGGTGGCAGCAGGCTAATAGTGTCACTAACTGTCCAAGTAACTCCTAAAAATCACACAGGATCTCTTCGGTAAGGTTGGGGCAAAGAGATAGTAACGCAGTGCACTTAGAAAACCAGGTCTGTTGTATTTGAATTATCTGTGCTGATCCAAAAAGGATAAAGGTCATAGCAATAATTTTTAGGCTCCAAGAGACATCCTAACTACAAAATAATCAGGTCAACCCTGACTTAAATGGGTAAGTGGGTGAAAGAAGGTACTGAGCCAGCTCAGGCTGTTCACAGTTGCTCTTCTTGTCTATGTAACCAGTATCCAAAATGTCACCTGTACTATGCAAGGTGTTTGGTAGTAACAAACCATCTTCAGTGACTCAGTATCGAGTCTTGTTAGTGCCACAGAGGAAGCTTGTTTGAAGAAATAACAAGCAGAATAAGCAAGGCATCTTTTTAGAACCATGGCCGTTGCCAATTTAAGCCACTTGATTAGTGACCAAAAGAAATAAATCACTTGGCCAAATTCTAGAGGTCACCACTGCCCCAAAAAAAGTGGTGATGAACTGTGGTATTAACGAAGAATCTGTTTGAACTAAAGGCAAAAATAATAATAAAAAAAACCCAAAAAACACAACCCACAGGGTGATCCATTGAGAGTAACAAGGAATTCACTATCCCTGAAACCTACCACTCAGTAAGACATGTTCATGTACAGATGGTGTAGTACTAAAGTCGTATCAACTAGTGCAGTTCCAAGTAGCACAGCTCACTTCAGGTACAACCAGCACCTTCTGGTATGATTTTCTTAGGTGATACTATTGTCCTAACATGTTATTCGCACATAGAAACTAAAGCCATTACTCATGGCTGAAAACAGATACACAGTACAATTACCAGAGTGAAGCACTCAACAAGAAGCACTGGCTTTAAGAAGTTGGTCTGTGTCTATTTGGTCAATGGAAAAGACATATTGCTTCCAAAAAAATCTTAAGACCTAGTTTTATCTCTGAATTAAGTGTCCTTAAATTGCTGCAACTGTATTTCACTGCAAGTTAATTCTTGTACCACATATGAAGGAGTGTCACTCAATAATGGGTTTTGGAAGTCAGAATTGCCAAGCAGAAGAGTGTTCCCTTCCCCTTGGATAGTGCAACTGATTCCATGTATCGAGAAGGTACGCTTGTCTCCTCCTTTTGCCAAGCGTATGTATGGATATCACCTTCATTGAATAGAAACCAGAATGTATGTGCAAATTCGTGTCATCATATATATGAACTTTCATGTTTATAAGATACAGAGAAAAGCTGCAGGGAGGAAACAGCTTTAGGGGATGGTGCGAGATGAAAACACCAAGGCAAACATTCTTCCTGTCTAAATGTAGGCTCTTGTACTTGTCTTCAGCTGCTGTGATGAATTTGGCAGCATAAATCCAGACCCAAACATCTACCATTACTTCGAAAATTGTACTGCAATCAAGACAGGACATTAGCACCTTGCTTTCCATTTAAAAAAATAAATTTGGCTTTAAGGACTGAAACTGTCAAAAATTAACTAAACACCATTGTGTAAGCAAGGAGAAGCTGAGAAATCTGGCAAAATGAAACTGAACTGACAACAGCTGACTGGTAAGAATCACACACAGAATTTTAAGACCTTTTTGGCACATAGCAATTCACATCCATCTCCTAGTCATTCCTAAACCGACAACCAGTTCCACAGCAAGTAATGCCAGCACAGACACACAGGATGCAACAACAGCCAACAGTCAGCCAAACCAGCTCGAAGCAGTCAGCGCAGGCTAAAGCAGGTCCAAGTGTTTGTCTCTATTATCACATCCCTAGGTTTGTTTGAATTCCACAGATGTAACAAAGGTTATATTTAGTGACTAATGTAGTTTGACACCGAGAAGCTTAAGAGCCTCTTTTTTGTAATCGAGTAGGAAGAAACCTGCAGCAGTACAGGCCTGTCATAAAAAGCATTGCTACACTTCTTTCCTTTGCAAGGCCACTAAAAAAAAAAAAATAAAATTCAGAATCAACCCTCACCTTCCTTGTTGTGTATCTAGGTGAACAGACCCAGAAAAGTGATAAAAGAAGCAACTAGACTTACCTGCCTCTTCAATTTCAGGGCTATGAAGCTGCAGTGTGCCTGAAAATCTGCCCCTTCTTTCTCAGAATTGGTCCAATAAAAAATTATTTGTCTACACAAAGTTATCTATCCCTTCCTTCTCATTAGGCCATCAAAACTTCTGCATCTTCTGAACTTTTGTAACAAAACTACTGGAGCAAGAAGTTAAGGTCTCTAGAAGCACATTCCAGCAACTAGCTTTTCCTCTTACAAATCTCCTGATCTGCTTAGTGGACTGTAAAAATCAACAGGTATCAGCCAGTGGAACAATACTGTTTTCTTACATCACATCACAAAAAGGAAAGATCTGAGCAGTACTGAAGACCTGACTAGTATTTACTCCATCACAATTGGCAGAATTTCTTCATATTCAGTTCACCACAGACCCCTTCTCCAACTCACAAACTGAAATGATGCCTTTATTGAAAAGGGTTTCCATTCCCTAACCTGCTATTCCACCTACTATACCGCTGGAAGAACAGTCATGGAAGAGGATCTGCGGCACCAGAAGTAAACTTGTTGGTACACTTTCTTCAGGCACAAACTCAAACAAGACAAACTGAAGGCTTTGGGAACTTGTTTTGCTGATGCACAGGTCTGATGGGAATTGCCTAAACCTGCAGCCAGCTTTTACTCCATCTATAAATTACTGCATTACAGAGTAGGAAGGGATTCCAATTCTAGGTGATGCATCATCATAGGGATTATCACATGGTATGATCTAGTTAGACTATGGGAATCTATGTCATTTTCTGACACAGCAGACTCAGGATGAGACTGTACAAACATACTGATTTATATATAGCCCTGTTATTCAATACTGATTTATTCAAATCACCAGGCTCATGCCTGGTACCACAGCTGAGAATAAAACCCATGAAAGCATGACTGGCTACTGGTTTGATAACCTGGAAAACTGAAGTCAGAGTAATGCATAAAATTAACTTGTAATTCTGCATCAAATTGAGCTGTAATTCTTTAACAAAGTGCAACTCCCACTGTAATTATCTAAGATCCAATCGGTTTTCATATAATAAGCAACATACTCTAAATACCCAAGTCCAAATGGTGTACGTGGCTACGCTCTCGACCTCCCCCACCCTGACCCTTCACAGCTGTGTTCTGGAGCAGATCAGAAACAGTTAAGGGACTAAGTTTGGTAATACTTGTTTTGTGTTTCAACTAGCAACACAAGCTGCCTTAAGGTTATAGCAGAATACTACCCAAGTTGTATTTTCATTAGAAACAACCAAGAAGGAACATGTTTAGAATTACCTCAGTTGCCAAAAAGCTGACGAAGTGGCACAAAACACTGAATATTTCTGAGGTATATAGATAAATACAGATATCAACTTGCCGACTTACTTTCATAATTTATTTTTTCACAGCAACAAACTACTTCACTAAAAGGAAGCTAGCAGGGAGGGCTGAGGGAAAGATAAGGAAAGCCTAATTCCATGTTTAAGGCAAGACAGTGATTTAGATTCCCATTTAGGGAAAGCATGTTTACCAGAGTGCTCTTCCCTCAATTAAAAATGGATGCTTGTCAAATGGTTGTGATGATAAAAAAATTTTGCAAAGAACCATACCTGCTTTCTAGGCTTAGCCTGTCACAGTACAAACAGTACAGTTGCATTCATTGCCTGAATCATCCTGCCACTGGGATGTAGCACATCCTCCTCCCCCCATTACTCACCTACTATTTAAATGGCCCCACACTCATATTCACTAATGTGAAGACAGCTTTGTTTATGGTGATGTGTTTGTTACTCACCTAATTATATGACGGTGGAATAAGCTGAGAGCTTTATTCAGTAGTGTCAACAAGCAGCTTAAACAAGAAATAGCGTATAGAACCAACGCTATCCTTAAGTTCCTTTACGAGCAGCTTAAGAAAGCAAGGGCAGAGATGTGCACCAGACTGCGCACCACATGCGGGTGGTTGCATGGAGCAGCCCAGCATGTGTGATCTGTACTGCTGCTCCCGGTTCTCTGGGAGGAATGGCCAGAGAGAAGCACTCTCCAAGCTCTAAGAGACAATCAGACCAGAATAACAAGCTGTTGTACCAAATCAGAGTAGTTATTTCCGGCCTTTCAGTCTGTTAACAACCAAGACCACAAGCAACCATTAAGGACTAGAAATGGCAAAAATCAACACTTAATAAAAAAAAATCCTGTGATGTACACAAAGCTGCTAATTAACTTGTATCACTAGGCATAAGGCTCATTAGACACTTACCAAGGCAAGATTTCTGCACTTAGCTTGGCTGCCACGATCCTCCACACCGCCGCCCCTCTCCATGCTTCCAAATGTGTGCTTTGGAGAAATTTCGGATGCCATTTCAGGAGAATCTGAGCAGAGATTTCTAGGCATTACACTCTCTTGACTTATCAATCCCGATGCAGCGTAGAATGCCATCAGCATATTACGTAGGGCTGCTAGCTTTATTCATTTCTGAAAACAGAGAATGTGTTATATTTAAATCTGGTTTTTAAAATACTTGAAAATAAGTGGAAAATAAATAGTAAAACAAGGTCCCACACGAAGTTATTAAAGGGCATATCTTTATGCTCTGGAACATGTCTCCCACCTATGGGCATTTTTTGAAAATAATGGTCTTCTTCAAAAAGTTGACTTTAAAATTCAACATAGAAAGGTTCTGTAGCCCATCTCATGTGCTTCCAAACCAGATGTCTACATTTACAAACATGGACCCTGCATACATACCTGTCCTACAGATTCAGTTTGTGTTTTCCATTATGACACATCATTAATAGTAATAAAATCCCATCAGTTCAGATACCAACAGACCCAATTCAAATGTCTAAAAGCTAGTAAAAGATGAAGACAAGAATTTTATCAGATCATGAGGGAAACAGAACCCTGTTCATTTTCTAACACTGCTGCAGTTAACTTGTGTGTTAATGAAGCAGCTCTATGCCAACTATTTCTGGTGAACAGAACTTAGTGCCATTTTTGCACCATCGCATTACGAAGCAAAACTGCATTTTAAAGCTTACAGACCTTTTATTTCACTCAGCCATGAAGAAACAGTGCTTGTACATTTGGAAGATGCTTACTGGAATAGACATACGCACCAGTGCTTACTGGAGCAAAAGCCACCAGTTTAAGCCATCCTAGTGCTCAGTTCTGTAATACCTCTCTGAATTGTCGTCATCTCCCAGAACACTCTGGCAGAATTTCTTCCTTCATCATCAAAGTACTACAAAGACAAAAGCCACCCGTTTGCACTAAAAGCACAAACAGGGCGAGCGGAAAAAAAGCAGAACCTAGTTCATCTCTCCAATACTTTAAAACATCCTCTGCAACAATAAGTTGCCTTGTTCTTTAACAGCCCATCTTTTCACCTACCCTGCCTGTGACCAGGAAACAGCAGTGACGGATTCCTCAAAACAGCTGCTTCTGAGGTACCACACTATATACAACCAGCTGGGAACTGGATACCATTACCCTGACACCGTACAAATGAAATGAGATGGTCCTGCTTCCCAAGTGCTTCACCCTTTATTATGGTTTGAGAGGTGACATGAGAAGCAAAGTCAAGTCTGCATTTCCAATTCAATTGGATTACTTCTCCTTCCTCCCTACCCCTGTCAGCTGAGTGATGAGAAACCAGAGCCTCCTGGTAAGCTGATTAGTATTTCATAGCAGTGAGATAACATCTGCCAATACTGAGCAACAATTCCATCCCGCTGAACGTTTCCTCCCAGGAGAGGGCTATGACATTACCAGAGGTACACAGGAACGCTCCCTCATCTATGTCGTAGCACCAACATGCGCCCCGTAGGAAGGCTCCCACACAATGTATCTAGGCTGCAGTCCAGCAAGTCTTGGAAGCACAATCCACATAAACAGAGCACTGGATTGCCACAGTAAAAGCATCTGATAGACCTAATGTTCCTAAGAAAGGCTGACAATTGAGATTTAGCCTTGCTTTGACATAAAAAGAACGTTCTTCCTTTCTTCTATTAATAACATTAGTTATAAATAGACACAATGCATCCTCCAGATAATGATCTGTAAGTGATGCCACAGAGGCAGAAACATGCTCTTGGTCCTGGTTTTCAGAATCGTAAAAGACATGAGACATGAGAGCATTGCAGCAGCTGCTGTACCTCTGGTTGCCACATAGCTAGGCTCGAAAGCTATGCTGCAGAAAGCCTAACTAGAAAAGAGCAGCCCAAGTCTGGAACACATCCTGCAACAGCAGCAACAGCAGTTCCATCTACAACAATCTCTGTGGCATTGAGTAGCCACACACAAACCCAAGAAAATATATATATTGTTTTTAGAAGGCAACATTATCAGTTAAAATCTTGACTCCTTTGAAATGCTACACACAAACACACAAAAATATGTGTATCATTTCTAGAAGGCAAGACTATCAGAGAAAATCTTGACACCTCTGAAATTCACAGAAAATTCCCACTGACTTTGGATTTCATCTCATGACTTCCAAGGTGATGTCCAGAGGGAAAATAATATTTTCCTAAGGAGGGACCAGCAAGAGGGTACTCCTACTGCCATCCAACATAGTGCGAGTATTAGATCTCATCAGCACTTTTAAGCTGCAGCATCGTTTTTTTATCCAGGTGTCCCCAGTAAACTGGACATGCCATGTTTGTTGAGTGCCCCAGTGATATATTGTAGACAACTACTAGATCTCTAGAATTATACTCAAAACTGTCTGCGAACATTTTATAGACTACACTATGATGGGTCATAGCTCCAGATTACAACAGATATAGACAAGACCCACATTTAAAGACTAAGTAAATGAAGATATTACTCCAAGTTACCAAGAAACCAATTAATGGGACAAAACTTTGAGGGAGAAGAAAGTATTTAAGAGTACTGTTCTGCTTTCTCTAACAGCAAAACCTTAGCATAACCAGGCTTAAGCTTCACAGCGGGCTGTCTGCAGGCAGGACAGCAGGAACACCTACATTCAGTGGTAATAAACCTTACAGCCACAAGTTCTAAATAACAACAAATAATTCTGCTTCCAGCAAGCTCCTGTTACTCATTTTGTAACTCAGATGTTTCACAAAGCTTCTGAACAGTGAATAAAGGCAGTGACTGTGACTGGTTAAAGAGAGCCACCCACACAAGATCAAATAGCAGGCACTACGGCACCAGTTCTGCTTTCGTGTTGTAAGCCATGACTTCTCTGGAAGCTTTACTCATTTCAGAAATGCTCGGGAGCTGTGCAATAGCCTGTGAGCCTCCAGAAATAGGGTGAGGGGAAGATCGTTTTCCCTTCTATCTTTCACATCATCTTTAACACTTTAAGGGTACACGTCAATGAGATCGCAACCCACTCATATACATAATTTCTTCTCCCCTTTGTGTTTTTTATGCTTTAAGGGAGAAACTCCTATGTATTTGTACAGCACCTAGCGCAGCTACAGCTGATGCAAGGTTGCCCGGCAGTGCTGCAATACACCCAGCATGCTTCACAGACAAATTCCCCTCCTAACCATGGCTAACACATAAGTCCCTTCACCCTTTTTATATCTCCTCTATTTAGTGAAAGACTCTGTGGATTTAAAATAGAAATAGTAAATAAATCTCAAGAAGACCGCACTGCCTGTTTCAGTAGGATTGCCTAGTTTACAAGCAAGGGTTCAAAAATAAGGTAGACATCCTCAGAGAGAGCAAGAACAGCAGGACAACCAGTGGCTGTTCCTCCTGACCTTCAGAGAGGCATTAAATATGAAAGTTGTTCACAACAGGATTTGTTGCTTGGTCTATTCAATGCATTGTAGTGGGGGGTTTTTTGGTTGGTTTAAGACATGTGTGCCTGTACATTAGCGATTGATGAAAAGATATCAGACCACGATACAAGTGTGCAGAAGTGTGACAGGAACAGTAGTGTTTGGAGAGAAGATCTCAAATATTAAACCAAGAACGCATCTTGGGGCAGCTGTGATTCTACAGACATGAGCACTTCTCAGTTACACGACAGCTAACCTTCATGCGACATTTAAAACAATACAATTCACATATCATGCATGTTTGTTAGAGGGTAGGAGGAGGAAATGGAAATATTCTGAAGTTAACACTGAATTTTACCTCCAAAGATGTAATTTTGCTTTGAGAAATGCACATAATTCAGAGAGACTATATTAAGTTGCCACCAAAGATAAGGTGCGGTCTGTCCTTTAAAAAAAGGATATTTTTATAGTTTTACTGAATAAGATCACTTCTCCACTGAGTCCAATGTTAGCATTTACAAGGGACTGTTTCTGCAGTAGGAGATGGAATAAATTGTTTATTAATAATCCTATTTGAAGACTAGCTTAATAGGCAAAAAGATCAATCCCACGAAAATGGAAGACATTTAGAGGCTAAAAGTCAACTGCTACATAAGCTAGGAGCTGGAAGCCAGCAAACAGACAGCATCATGCCATTTGCTGCACAATATATCCAAGGTAAGTACACTCGACAATTTTTAGAAAGTTATCATACATTTTTAAAAGGGCACAATATCAGCCTCTCCCTCCCTTCGCTATACGTACAATTTCTAGAACACTCTCCGCATGAACCATTTCTTAAGCTCAGTTTCTAAGCTTAGACTGTAGTTTGAGCATCACACACACTTTGCCTGTTCTTAAACAGCTATTTCTCAGTGATACAACTGAAACAGAACTGGCCTGTGAGCTCAAGGTTTGTTTAATCTCTCAGCTGTACACAGACATACCAATGTACTCAGCTCTGCACACACTGTCAGTCATCTCGCACTCCATGGCGGTGCTTGAGTTTGGAGAGTTAAGCATCTTGAAAAAACATCTGAAAGTACTCTGAGGTCCTTCAAAGTGTTATTGTGGGATAGGTTTAATAAAAATGACAATACAGGGGCAGACTAGAGACCTGTACCTCTATTAGCCTCTGACAGCAGCAGATGCTGAGGGAAGAGTATGTAAAACAAGGCAAGCAGAGAGTAGGAATTAATTCAAATTCCTGCACATTGTGGTCAGGAGACCACAGGGCTTCGCAAAAGAGGCCAGGTATTTGTGTCTAATAGCCTGATGATTTTTTCCTGTATTAAGTGCTCCTGCAACATACCTTTGAACCTGCTGTACAAGATCACAGCTACACAAAACCAGCTGGCCCATCACATCGTCACTGAGGCACTGCTGTTACAAACTCCTCAAAACTAACTAATCCAGTACGCTGGGCACTCTTCCTCCTTAGGAACAGAGCTATCAGCAATCAAAATCTTCTTAACTCCTTCAGTATATGAAACACAGAGTAAATCCTTGAGCTTTAGAGGTAACCCATGTCTTACTCTTGGGATATACGGTAAGATTAAGCTTTTAGTAGAAGAACAGACTAAGCGACAGTACTGCCTACAAAGGACAAGCCTCACAGGCAAGCTGACTAACTCTGGGAGCACACAG